CGTCGAATGATCGCTGGCACCAGATGCCGTGCCGTCGTTATCGTCCCCATCACCACCATCGTCGTCATCGTCATCATCACAATGATCCCAAGCATCACCGTCGTCATCGCCATCATCAGCATTAACACCATCACCACCATCATCATCATCACCATCGTCATCATCACCATCGCCATCACCATCGCGATCATCATCATCATCAGCATCATCCGGATTACCATCAGCATCATCATTTTCATCATCATCATAATCAACATCATCATCAACATCAGCGTCATCGTCAGCATCATCATCACCGGCGTCGTCATCATCATTATCATCATCAACATCATCATCGGCACCAACATCATTATTCTCATCATCATCACCATCATCATCGTCATAATCATCATCATCATCAACATCATCATCATCATCGTCCGGAATATCAACATCAACATCAACAACAATATCAGCATCGTCGCCATCATTGTCAACATCACCACCACCATCATTCGGGAATATTTCGGCTTAGGGCCCTCTGACCGTCTTAGATTCAGCGGATCCTCAAGTGCGACCATCCCAAAGGCTCCAACAATGTGCTCACGGAGAAAGACTCCAAAGGGGCCTGCAGACTCTCAAACAAAACCAACGACCAACTCAATACTTGTATGCACATAGTTGCCGCTACTGCCGACTATTTGCGGGACGTACTTTGGGGCGGTCGATGATGTAGTCCATATTGAAAAGAGCCGCCCACCCTTTGTGCAGAAGGAATTGTAGGCGTTCTATGTCAAGGAGTGTGATCAAGAATTGTGTTGCTTCGGACTCTGCCGCCATTGACCAAAGAAAGAATAACCTGGCGAAAGACCCAACCATATGCAGATGTGAATACCGCGATTGTGGATCTCATCTTCGCTCGCGCCCCCTATGGGGCCACGAACCGTGTGAGGGGGCGTGCCGACATGCGTGGCGGGGTCCCCAATACGAACAAAGACGATCGCTCTGAGTGCGCGAGATTGAGACCGGGTGAGCCTGAGCGCGAGTAAGTATGATTGTGAATGTGTCTGCGTGCGAATCAGTCTACGTGCATCAATGTCGACGCCCATGTCGGCACGCCCCTCACGAGGATCGCGCCCGCTTCCTTCCCCTTCTTTTTCTGCCTCTTTGCCCGTGCGCGCCGATGTCCATGGCTGCGGGCGCGGCGCCGCACTGCGTCCCCGCGACGCGCGCTGGTCGCCCCGAAAGGGTCACAGCGACGCGCGCGGGTCGTCCGCTGCGCGGAGCAAAGAGAGTGCTAGCTGGCTGGGTGATAGCGGGCAAGACTGTGGCCGCTGGGCAGAGCGACGACGGGGGCGAGCGAGGCTCTGGGCAGAGCGCAGCGCGGAATTCCCGCGACGCGCGCTGGTCGCCCCGAGAAGGCCCCAGCGACGCGCGCGGATCGCCCGCGGCGCGAGGCCAAACAGTCAGACCGTCGAGAGACGGCGAGTCTCGGGCGGGCCGCTCCTCAAGTCAAGCCTCGCGGATAAACTCGGTGAAGCCCATCTCCCTGGCGAGGGCCGTCGCCTCCCTTCTGCACCGCTTCGTGCGTGCCGCAAACTGCTCCAGCTGCTTCCGCAAGCCCTCCGGCGGCCCTGCTAAGAAGAACTCGATGCGCGGCGCCCGCATGAGCAGGAGGTCCTCGTGGCGCGTGGCGCGCGAAAGCAGGACGTAGAGCTCCAGCCACCAGTCGTCGTCCTCCTTCTTGCCGTTCCCCACCTCGTGGCGGCCGCAGTCCAGGATCACGCCTGGGCGGTGTCGGCCGAGGGAGCAGCGCGCCAGGCAGCCGACGGCCCAGGGCGAGAGTCCACAGACCGAGAGGAGGTCTGGCTGCGGACTGCTCGCGCCCAGCAGGTCTGGCCGTAAACTGCCCCAGAGCGCTGTTCCCTCGCCCCGTCGCCATGGGAGTTCCGCCACTGTGACCTTAAGTGGAGCTCCCTATGGGGCCACGAAACGTGTGAGGGGTGTGCCAAAATGGGGCGGCGGCGCCATGCGAGTTCCGCCACGGGGACCTTCGGTGGAGCTCCCTATGGGGCCACGACGCGTGTGAGGGGTGTGCCAAAATGGGGCGGCGGCGCCATGCGAGTTCCGCCACTGGGACCTTAGGTGGAGCTCCCTATGGGGCCACGAAACGTGTGAGGGGTGTGCCAAAATGGGGCGGCGGCGCCATGCGAGTTCCGCTACTGGGACCCTAGGTGGAGCTCCCCATGGGGCCACGAAACGTGTGAGGGGTGTGCCAAAATGGGGCGGCGGCGCCATGCGAGTTCCGCCACTGGGACCTTAGGTGGAGCTCCCTATGGGGCCACGAAACGTGTGAGGGGTGTGCCAAATGGGGCGGCGGCGCCATGCGAGTTCCGCCACTGGGACCTTAGGTGGAGCTCCCTATGGGGCCACAAAGCGTGTGAGGGGTGTGCCAAAATGGGGCGGCGGCGCCATGCGAGTTCCGCCACTGGGACCTTAGGTGGAGCTCCTTATGGGGCCACGAAACGCGTGAGGGGTGTGCCAAAATGGAGCGGCGGCGCCATGCGAGTTCCGCCACCGGGACCTGGGGTGGAGCTCCCTATGGGGCCACGAAGCGTGTGAGGGGTGTGCCAAAATGGGGCGGCGGCGCCATGCGAGTTCCGCCACTGGGACCTTAGGTGGAGCTCCCTATGGGGCCACGAAACGCGTGAGGGGTGTGCCAAAATGGGGCGGCGGCGCCATGCGAGTTCCGCCACTGGGACCTTAGGTGGAGCTCCCTATGGGGCCACGAAACGTGTGAGGGGTGTGCCAAAATGGGGCGGCGGCGCCATGCGAGTTCCGCCACTGGGACCTTAGGTGGAGCTCCCTATGGGGCCACGAAACGTGTGAGGGGTGTGCCGGAACAGAGACATGCGGAGAGCAAAAGCCAGGATGGGGGAGGAGGGAGGAGGGGGAGGAGGAAGAAAGGAGACGCGGGGCACCGTCTCTTCAAAACGAGGACCCAACACCACAAGATGGTTGGGAACAACATGCTGTCCCTGAGATGCACAGCTTTGCCCACGACACCGACTCGGAGAGGACAGCAGAACGTGATACGCTGAATGTGGATGGAGGTGTTGTTCAGTGTGATCCGACTTTGGCTCTCACTCCTGCTCCGACTCCTGCTCCGACTCCTGCTCCTGAGGTCTCCCCTTCTAGGACTCCCCCAGAGGACCGGAGTGAGCTGGCTGACGTCGAGGCCTTTTTGGGCCTCCAGTCCCAACCTTCCCCCTCTCCCCCACCCGCCCGCCCACTCTCTCCTGCGAGCACCTTGAGAGATTTGCTGCCCGCTGGAGGGAAGCCAGGCACAAGAACGAACGAACGAACGAACAAGCCATACGCCAGCGGGCGCGTGGGCAACAGCATGCGTCTAGCAAGCTCGACGCGGGATCAAGGAAAATGCCGCGAGCAGCCGGATAAAGCACAAGAGGTAGAAGAGGCCAAAACGCCAGGCCAAGGGTGGAGGGAAGCCAGGCGCCAGAGGGAGGCCAAAACGCCCCGCCGAGCATCAGCGGCGCGCGCCGTGGCAGGTCGCCATCTCTTTCGCCGTGGCTTGCGGCCCTTCCCCGCAGGCGGGCCCCACCCTTATTGTGCCAGCCTCTCCGGGGTAGCAGAGGCAAGCAATTGACAGAGCACAACGTCCGCGCTCATGCCACCATCCCACGACCACCTCCGTCTCCTCACCTCTCCCTCCCTACCCTCCTTCCTCCCTTCCAGCACCTGGCGCCCTCAGTGAACTGAAATCCGCCGAGACGTCGCTTGCGGCGCCAGGGGCGTTGGTGCCCTGGTGGGCCTGGGGCGGCACCCCCACTCTACTGGGTGGTCCCCATGCTGAGTCGGTCTGCTGTCCCAGGTCCATCAGGGGCCCGTCGTTCTGGGGCCGTGGGTGACCGCCCAGGGCTTGCGCGGCGCGGAGTGGTTCGCCGGTTTGCGTCGCTCTGCGCGGTGCCAGCCTGTTGCGGGGGCTGGCTCTGGCCGCTGCTGCTGCCCGCCCCCGAGGTCGGGGTGTCTGGTGTGGCCAGGGGGTCGACTCTCTTGGAGAGTGCCGCCTGATCCCCCCCCTTGGGCAAAGGGAAGAGCAGGCTACGCATGGAATGAATTCAATGGAAATAAATTGCCGAAGATCCGTGAGTGGATCAATCTAGACTGATAAGGCTATGATGCCTCTTTTGATTTTGAGCGGCTATGATGCCCGCTCGTGCCCACCCCGTCCCGTCTTCAGGGACTTCGCATCCCCCTGTGATGGTAAGATGGGAAGACGGGCTGCCCCTGGCACTGCACGTACGGTGCCCCTGGCACTGCACGTACGGGGGTGAGCCTGGCCACCCACACGCCTTCCCGCACCGGGTGCCACGCCTGGTGGTCCGTCGGGGGTGGCCAGAGCCTCCTGGGGCAGGGAGACCCAAGGAGGCTCGGGGGCCGACCGCTCACGGCGGCCGGTTGTGCTCATCGGGCTCCAGTGTGGTGGGCCTGGCGCCTCTTCGTTTCCCTCTTCTCGTCCTCTCGCTCGTCTCTGCCTCCTGCCCCGTCAGGAGCGAGGCGACCCCCAGCTCTTTTTGCCTGCGTTCTCGGCCTGCCCTCGGAGCTTGATAGGAGCGTGCAGGCCTCAGTTAGTTGCCTTTCCGCCGGGCAGGACGGCGGCACAAGTGCTGCCGCAACTGTTCTGGAACATGTCTCCGCCCTGTGGCTCCACGAGGAGCCCCAGACGGCGCCGCGGTTCTCGACGCCCCCTCCTGCCGAGTCGATCCCATCCACCATCCAGCTCCCTTCCTCCCCACCTCTCTCTCTCTCTCTCTCTCTCCCCCGCCCTTCCATCGCCCACCCTCAGCCCTCACACCTCCTCGACCACCCGCCCTCCCTCCCTCCCTCCCTCCCTCAAATCCTCCCTCCCTCCCTCCCTCCCTCCCTCCTTCCTCCTCCTCCTCGTCCTCCTCCTCCTCCTGCCTCTGCCCCTCCCCCCCTCTGGCCCCCCCCGCCCGCTCCTTGACCTTGTCGGTGAGGGGCCCTTCGCCCTTGGAGGCGCCCTTCCTGGCGGCTGCCGGCCCTGCACGGCCGCCGCGCAGCGCGGCCAGCGCGGCCTCCAAAAACTCCTGCCGAGGTGGGCTGGCGTTGTGGAAGTCGGTCAGTGGAGATGGAGCATGCTGCCAAATCATTTCCAGATGTCTAGAACATGTTTCAAACATGTCTTTAACGTGTAAGCGACATGTGTTGAAACATTGGTAGAGCGTTTTATAAGACATGTCGAGCACATTTGTTATTCAATGATCCGATTGTTAGAGTGTCCATTGTCATGGCATCCACAAGGCTGGTGGAGGGGCGCGGGATCCCCTCGGTTCCCGACCATCGGTCTGACGGCTGCCTCCCTGCCTTTGTTCCATTGCTTTCGGGATGGGCCGGTGGGAGAACTTTTTTGGTCGCAGCCGCAAGCGAAAGTGCAGGCGGCGAGAGGGGGTCCGGGGCACGGGCCAGCCTAATCCCACCAGCCCTTTGGGCGTGAGTGGTTTAGAGAGCTCTCTCTGTCCTCAACCCCCCAACCCCCTTCTTCCCCTTCGGGGAGGGGTTTACCCCTCCCCCTCCCCCCTCCCCCTGGGTCTGGAGAGGGCGGGCCGCGGGTGATCAGAGAGGTTTTTTCCGACTCCTGGGAGGGCCAAAAAACGACGACCCTCACGAGGATTCTGGCCCCGTCGGGGGGAGTGAGAAAAAATGCTCTCCTCTTCTCTGAAGCCAAAATCCTTGATTTTACTACGGTTTTGGCCCCATTTTGGCCGTCTGAGGGGCCAGCGCTGCTGCTCCTTGTTCTCAAAATTATTGATTTTACGAAGGTTTTGGGCTCATTTTGTCCTTCTTGGGGGGTAGCGCTCATTTGCGCTTCCAGGAGGTCGCAAGAAGCCCCCAAGAGGCCCCAAGATGCCCCCAGGAGGCTCCCAAGATGCCTCCAAGAGGCTCCCCAGCCGCCCCCAAGAGGCCTCCAGAGGCTCCCAAGAGGCACCCCAGAGGCGTCCACGAGGCCCCCAGAGCCCCCAAGAGGCTCCCAAGAGGCCCCCAAGAGTCTCCCAAGAGGCGCCCAAGAGGCCCCAAGAGGCCCCCAGGAGGCTCCCAAGAGGCCCCACCAGGAGCCCGAACGACTCACACCAGGACGAGGGGCCCGAACGACTCACACCACGAAGAGCCCGAACGACTCACACCACAACGAGGGGCCCGAACGACTCATACCAGGACGAGGCGCCCGACCGACTCACACCACGAGGAGCCCGAACGACTCGCGCCACGACGCGGGCCTCGAACGACTCACACCACGTGGAGCCCGATCGAGTCACACCAGGAGGAGGGGCAGCGCTCATACAAGCCCCCCAAGAGGGCCCCCAGAGGTCCACCAGATGGCCCCAAGAGGTCCCCAGATGGCCCACAGTCTCAAAAGTATTGATTATACGAAGGTTTTGGGCTCATCATGTCCTTCTCAGGGGGTAGCGCTCACTTGCGCTTCTGAGGAGGTCGCAAGAAGCCACCAAGAGGCCCCAAGATGCCCCCAGGAGCCTCCCACGAGGCCTCCAAGAGGCTCCCAAGCCGCCCCCAAGAGGCCCCCAGAGGCTCCCAACAGGCCCCCCAGAGGCTCCCACGAGGCCCCCAGAGCCCCCAAGAGGCTCCCAAGAGGCCCCCAAGAGTCTCCCAAGAGGCGCCCAAGAGGCCCCAAGAGGCCCTCAAGGGGCTCCCAAGAGGCCCCACGAGGAGCCCGAACGACTCACACCAGGACGAGGGGCCCGAACGACTCACACCACGAAGAGCCCGAACGACTCACACCACAACGAGGGGCCCGAACGACTCATACCAGGACGAGGCGCCCGACCGACTCACACCACGAGGAGCCCGAAGGACTCGCACCACGACGCGGGCCTCGAACGACTCACACCACGTGGAGCCCGATCGAGTCACACCAGGACGAGGGGCAGCGCTTATACAAGCCCCCCAAGAGGGCCCCCAGAGGTCCACCAGATGGCCCCAAGAGGCCCCCAGATGGCCCACAGTCTCCAAATCCCACCAGCCCTTTGGGTGTGAATGGTTTAGGTCGCCTTCTCTGTCCTCAACCCCCCAATCCCCCTTCTTCCCCTTCGGGGAGGGGTTTACCCCTCCCCCTCCCCCCTCCCCCTGGGTCTGGAGAGGGCGGGCCGAGGGTCGTTGGAGGGGTCTTTTTCGACTCCTGGGAGGGCTAAAACACGACGCCCCCCACGAGGATTCTGGCCCCGAAGGGGGGGCTGAGAAAACAAAGAACCTCCTCTTCTGTGAAGCCAAAAAACATAGATTTAACGACGGTTTTGGCCCCATTTTGGCCTTCTGAGGGGACAGCGCTCCTCTTCCTCGTTCTCAAAATCATTGATTTTACACAGGTTTTGGGCTCATTTTGTCCTTCTCAGGGGGCAGCGCTTCTTTGCGCTTCTGAGGAGGTCGCAAGAGGCCCCAAGATGGCCACAAGAGGCCCCCAGGAGCCTCCCAAGAGGCCTCCAAGAAGCCCCCAAGAGGCCCCCAAGAGGCCCCAAGAGGCCCCCAAGAGGCCCCCAAGAGGCCCCCAAGAGGCCCCCAGACGCCCTAGGAGGCGCCCAAGAGGCCCCCAAGAGGCCCCCAAGAGGCCCCCAAGAGGCCCCAAGAGGCTCCAAGAGGCCCCCAAGAGGCCCCCAAGAGGCCCCCACGAGGAGCCCGAACGACTCACACCAGGACGAGGGGCCCGAACGACTCAACCCACGAAGAGCCCGAACGACTCACACCAGGACGAGGGGCCCGAACGACTCATACCAGGACGAGGCGCCCGACCGACTCACACCACGAGGAGCCCGAACGACTCACACCACGACGCGGGCCGCGAACGACTCACACCACGAGGAGCCCGAACACCAGGAGGAGGGGCCCGAACGACTCACACCAGGATGAGGGGCCCGAACAACTCACACCACGAGAAGCCCGAACGACTCACATCAGGACGAAGAGCCCGAACGACTCACACCACGAAGAGCCCGAACGACTCACACCAGGAAGAAGGGCCCGAACGACTCACACCAGGACGAGAAACCCCAAACGACTCAAACCACGAGGAGCGCTTTCTCTCCCTCCTCCTCCGCCTCGTCCTTCTCCCGCTCCCACCACAAGGAGGATGTACAAGGAGGCGGGAGGAAGGAGGAACAGGGGAGATATGCGGGGCCAAGCGGACACACGCCTGAAAAACACGACTGTCGGCATGCTTCGCGAGAGTTGCTGCTGTGAGATGGGCTGGCGGGGATACGCGAAGCGTAAAGAATTAGCTACTGAGCGACACGCAAGCCAGCCGGGCCAGCACTCAGAAGCGGCGGCTGAGGTGCAGCTGCTGCTGGTGGAACTGGATGGCTGGTCTGCAACGCCCAGGGAAGCTGATGCAACTTGCGCCGGTGGGAGAACGCGGAGCGTCCAGAATTCCAAGCCCTGGCCGAGCGCTGCTGCCACGCTGTGCCCCCCGCCCCGTCGGCGAACTGTCGGTCGGAGGCGTTATGGTGAGGATGCTTTGGCAGACACAGCGAGGCGACTGAGGGACAGGGTTCGGGGAAATCAAAAGGTGCCGACACCGCTACTCCCCGGACCTCTCCCGGGGTGCGTTCTGACCAGAATCTGGAGGAAAATCCAGCGGTGGCGACGAAGGGGCCTCCGAGGAGGCCCAGAAAAGGGGAAAACGGGCGTAGGGTACCAGTATGGGTACCTTTCCCTTCTCTGATGGCTCTTGAGTACTTCATCGCACCAGCCTTGCAAACGTGCTGCAGGAGATTTCTGCGTGAATTCTTGCCCGAAACGGCGAGCGAAAAAAATGAACTTCGCAAGGAATCCTTTTGGTCCTCATTCCTAGCTAAAAAACATCCGCACGACATCCACCTCGAGATCCGGAGCGGAATTCTCCAGGACACTCCGGGCCCACCCTATCGTTTTCCGAACGGAATCCGCTTTGCGATGTTGGCGCCACGAGTGAGGAGGAGGAGGAGGAGGAGGAGGAGGAGGAGGAGGAGGAGGGAGGAGGAGGAGGAGGAGAGGAGGGTAGGAGGAGAGGAGGAGGAGGAGGAGGAGCGAGGAGGAGGAGGAGGAGGAGGAGGAGGAGGAGGAGGAGGAGGAGGGGGAGGGGGAGGGGAGGAGGGGAGGAGGAGGAGGAGGAGGAGGGGAGGAGGTAGGAGGAGGCGGAGGAGGAGGAGGAGGAGGGGGAGGAGGGGGAGGAGGGGGTGAGATGGGGTTCCCGAAGTCTCGCCGCGTGGGCGCCCCGCGCCGCTCGCGGGCGCCCCGCGGGCGCCCCGTGCGCCGGGGGTGCGCCTCGCGGGCGCCGTGGCGTCCGCTGGCAGGCGCCCCGCTGGGCGCCCCAGGTGCGCTCGCACCGCGCGGCGTACCACGGCGCGGCACTTTTTTGTCGCGGCCGCCAGCGAAAGCGCAGGAGGCGTCCGAAAAGGTCGAGCGGGCAACGCGCGAGCCTAATTAAACAGCGACCGAGCGCGGGATCAGAACCTAGCGGCGCGGCACGCGCAGCGCGCAGGCTGCACCACGCAGCCCGCCGCGCACAGCGCGCGCCGCATCGTTCGCCATTACGTCGACGGCACGGCATGACGTCTGATCCAAGGCAAACAGGGGCAGAGATTCGGCGGGACGAGCGTTGCAACCGTGCTCGGGGTGACCCAGAGCACGTATAAGGACAAAAAAACATGGGGCACGGGAAAACACCAGGGTGACACGTGTCAGCCGAAACCCGCGTGAGAAAAAACAAGGTGTTTCAATTGTATTCTGGGGGCCTACATGGGGCCACGCAACATGAGAAAGCACACGGGCGACACGTGTCACCTCGAAAACCTACGGAAAATACCCAATTGTGTCACTTGTATTCTGAGGGCCTACATGCGGCCATGCAATAGAAGAAAGCACGAGGGTGTCTCGTATCACCCCGAAGTCCGTGTGAGAGAAACCCGTGGTTCCACTTGTACTCTGAGGGGGAGCGGGGTGCCGTGCGACATAAGCAAGCACCAGGATGACACGTGTCACCTCGAATATTTGAAAAGACATAGACATATGTATTGTGAGGGCAGACATGAGAGCGTGCCAT